CCTCATGCTGGAAAGACTCGGGGGACACGAGAGGGCGGCAGGCAATGTCTCTATCAGCAGGCACTAAAAACAGTTGGAGACATGGGCAACTGTGTCTTCAAGGCCAGGTGGGTGGGGCTGCACCTTCTCCTCCTGCACATCCCTCCAAGCTACAGGCCTTTTTGTGGTTTTAATCTCCCTCAAGGCTGTCTGAGGGTTGTTTTAACCTCTTTTTAAGTTAATAAAAATGCTGTGTTTGGAAGATAAGGAAAGAAGGGAGGGAAGGGAGTGTTTGTTTGGTCCCAGGGTTTAAGCGCCTTGCCCCTGAGCCCCCTTGATTTTTTTTTTTAGGTCATATTCGAGTCTGTGTTGCAAATCCCCTCCAAGAAGCCTATCCAGTGGGCTTCGCAATGGGCTGTCTGTGAACATTTTGTCCTGGCAGTTACCTGACTGACCACAGAGTGGCAAATCTCGAGCAGGAAATCGGTTACGTGCGAGTGCCTCCCTCCCCAAAAGCCTTCAGCAGAATGTAGAGCCAGATGAATGATGGTAGCCTTGTCACGAAGCCCAAACTGGTCACAGTGCCGCCATGCATCATGAATAGCTTCCCAGCTGGGGGTAAACCTGGCTTTCCATGTTTATTACTTATTTGTTATCGGAGCCGAAGGAACAAAGCAAAATGCATCCCGCGCAACACCCCGGATGGGGCATGCAGGATCCAGAAAGCCTGAGAAAAGGCTGCTGCGTCTCTCCCTGTCCCGAAGACTTTCCCTTTTCCTTCTTGTTTGAGAGAAGTTCCCCAACTTTGTGGCAACTGCCTTTGATTTATGCTCCCCAAGCTCAAAAAGAAAAACATCCGTTTTCTCCAAATTATTTTGATACTCTTTCCCCTCCCAAAGAAAGCTTTTTACATGGTTCTGGCTTCACGAAGCCCTTGGAACTCTAAGTAGGACAAGATTTAGTACTGACTCAGCTTGGCAGGTAGGCTGGGGGGCGGGGTTGGGGGGTTCTCCCAGGTGCTCCCTACGGCAGGAATTGGACTCTCCCTGGAGTAACAAGACCCAGACTAACCCGCGGGATCTCCACGCCAGCGCTTTTCAGCTCGGGCTTCAAGGACATTTCTCTTCTCAGCAACTCTGGCCCCCTTATGGGCCTGGGACATCCAGGGAGAGCCAGGCTAACTTTTCGGGAGCTGGCCCAAACCACTTTCCAAGAAGAAAATCACATGAAAGATAGCGCCAGCGACCAGGGTGCCTTCTCCCTCCCTCCATTTCACTGGGACGCTGAGAAGCTATTAGTGACCCGAGCTGTCCCCAAATGGGAATCCAAATAACTAACTTGTCAGGGAAGCGAGCCTGACTGAGGTCAACGGGCTCCTTATATTTTCGTTCCTAAGTGCTCTGCGTGTCTTTGTTTTCTGTGCCAATTAGTCCATCGTGGTATGTATCTCATGTACAGAACACACTCATAAATCTAACTGGAAGCCAGAATGTGGCACGACCATTTGATTATGGGAAAAATCTATTTGATTGATGAGGTCTTACGACCCAACGAACCGTATTGTGCTTTCTTCTCCACTGTCCGGCTTAACTGTGTTGGTGATCCCGTCCCTCCCTTGGCCTGACAATCATAGGATTCGGGGCCTGCCTCGAGCAGCAACATGGGTCAGGGAGAGAAGGGTGGAGAGCAGGAGGAAAAATTGCTCTTTAATTACTGCTGATTTGAATATTAAATTATTTCCCCATGAAAACAGCTAGATTCAGCAGTCTGTGGCTCGGGCCACATTTTTCCGTTAATGTGACCGGGAGTTCTGCTGGGTAAGAACTCTGAGAAAGCCCGTGCTCGAGTAAATGTCCTGGGAAGTCTTGTGACTCAGAGGCAGGGTGCCATTTCCAAAAGGGACATCATTACAGAGGTCTCACAATTCAGCTACTTGAAGGGGGCATTCGGTCTAGCGAGCACGTCAAATAAATTATGATTCCTCTGAGAATCTGTGCTTCCCTGTCTATATTTCTGGCACTCCTGAGTGGCATTTTAGGGGAGGCTAGTGATTTCTTTTGCTGGGGTTTCGGGAGCAGAAAGGGACTTTGCTTCGATCTGGATGACTCATGTGGGTTAACCCAAAGTGGGGGAAACTTCTCCTCCTCCCACTCAGGTGCAAAGCGGCCCACCCACGAACACTGCTTTCAAAGGAAGTTTGACAGGGGCGCCTGGGTGGCTCAGTTGGTTAAGCGACTGCCTTCGGCTCAGGTCATGATCCTGGAGTCCCGGGCTAGGGTGGGAAACAAGGAGGAAACCTTCTGGGGCCAGCAAATGTGTCTCTCTCTGCAGGGGGTGTATGTCAGAGCAAATCTCTAAATCTAAATGGGCAGAGCAAACTCAGGTCTGGCCAAAAGTGGGGCAGGGAGTCGATGAGTCTCCCAAGCAGCAGTATTATTGGTGTTTATCGAAGCAGATGCGAATGAGCCTGAAAGATGGGACCAGGTTTGGGGAAAGGAGCTGGCAGAAACTCTGCTACACTGGAAGGTCCATGAGAGCAGAGGTCCCATCTGGTTTTGTTTACACGTTGCCCTGTGCCCAGCAGGGCTGGGCACACATGAGGGGCTCAATAATAATGGGTGGAATAAGATGATCGGGGCTGCCCAACTGGTCAAGCTAGAGCGCTAATGGGTATAATAATAGTCATAACCATTTCAAAGGGTAGTTGTTAACAGGTAGGGTTACAGTAGTTTAGTTAATGCATGTCAGCGGTGGGGCGCCTGGGTGGCTCAGTCGTTAAGCGTCTGCCTTCGGCTCAGGTCATGATCCCAGGGTCCTGGGATCGAGCCCCGCATCGGGCTCCCTTGCTCCGCAGGAAGCCTGCTTCTCCCTCTCCCACTCCCCCTGCTTGTGTTCCCTCTCTCACTGTGTCTCTGTCAAACAAATAAATAAAATCTTTAAAAAAAAAAATGCATGTCAGTGGCACATAATGACTCCCCTTGGTATGTCTACTAATAGAAAAAGAGGCTGTATCCAGTCCTTCCAACTACTGGTGAGGCGGCTCCCCCATCAAGCCAAGCCTCCATTGATTCCAGGGTGTAGCGGGGCCCAGCCCACAGATGGGTGGGCGTCAGACTGGCAGGGACCAACAGACACAAACGTTCAGGCCTGAGCCAAGTCCCAACATGGCCACTGTTCCTCACTTTTGTGTGGCCATGTAGTTAAGAGTTGAGGCTTTTGAGTCAGAGAGTCAGGTTTAAATCCCTGCTCTGCTGCTTATGTTCTTTGTGACCCCAGGCAAGTTCCAAAATTCTCCGACCTTCAGATCCCTTGTCTGTAAAATGACAATGATAATAACACTTACTGAAGGGTTGTTGTGAGGATTGGATGAGAAAATGTTAACTTCCCAGCACCGGACCTGGCTCATGGGAAGCACTCAACAATGGTAGCCATGGCGAGTACTGTTACCACTTAGACATGCTGTGAGCTATGTCTTATTCTTCTCATAGTTCGCACGCTTAGATCCCTGAGACTGTGCCTTATATAGGGTGTTTAATAACTGCACATGCTTGGGGCGCCTGGTTAAGCTTCCGACTCTTGGTTTTGGCTCCCGTCGCGATCTCAGGGTCGTAGGATCGAGCCCCAGGTTGGGCTCCATGACGAGAGCAGAGTCTACGTAAGACTCTCTCTCCCTCTCCCACTGCCCCTCCCCCGCTAAAATAAGTAAATAAATCTTTAAATAATTGCACATGCTTACCTGTTCCTCCTTTCTTTACCTCTTCTGCTGGGCTGGCAGTCAGCTGCAGAGTTAAGCTCCAACTGCAGCTTCAGGTCCAGCTGGCTCAAGGGAGCTCCAAGTATGTCTCATTTTCTTTCTGGGATCAGTGGCTAGTGAGGGCATGTCTTTCTCATGGTGCCTGAAGCACAAGCATGTAAGCTAAATTATACAGGCACATTTCAAGCCCCTGCTCAAGTCACATTTGCCCATGTCCCATCAGTGAAGCATGTCCTACGGCCAAATCTAAACTCAAAGTGTGAGGAAATACACTCTGTGGGAAGGACCACAAAGCCATACAGCAAAAGTCATAGTTAGAGGGAGGGGTGAAGAATCAGGACCAATAATCAGAAAGCCTCCCCTGATGATATCCCAAGATATTAAATCCCACTTCTAGATATTAAATTTCAATCCATAATCATAACTTTTAGCCAGCCTGGGTCATTTAACCACAACTCTTTTTAGGGCTTCAGAAGTCACCCTTATCTCTCCACCATCAAGAAGTGTGAAGCAAGTTTTTGGATGACAGGTCCAGAGAGTATTTGAGTGATGACCAAAAAATATCTAAAATCTGGGGCCCCTGGGTGACTCAGTCAGTTAGGCCTCTGACTCTTGGTTTCGGCTCAGGTCATGATCTCATGGATCGTGAGATTGGTGGCGTGGCTCCGGGCTCAGCAGGGAGTCTGCTTGAGATTCTCTCCCTCTGCCCCTCTCCCCTTTCTCTCTCAAATAAATAAATCTTTAAAAAAATATATCTGAGGGGCACCTGGGTGGCTCAGATTGTTAAGCGTCTGCCTTCAGCTCAGGTCATGATCCCAGGGTCCTGGGATCAAGCCCCACATTGGGCTCCCAGCTCAGTGGGGTGTCTGCTTCTCCCTCTCTCTCTGTCTGCTGCTCCCCCTGCTTGTGCTTTCTCTCTCAAAATAAAATCTTTAATATATATATATATATATATATATATATATATATATATATATATATATATATCTGAAAGTCACATAACTTTTAGCCCTGTATCTCTCCAGAATGGGTTCCCAGTAACAATTTCTAACTCCCTATACACAATCCAAAGAAATTTATACAGATTTCTTCCCTTTTTTCTTAATCCTTAATCCCCAAAAACCCAGATATCTGAAGGTAGATAGCAGATCAGGCCCCTTGCATGACTGCATTCGATACGTGTGGCAAACAGATCCACCAAGGAAGTCAAGAGTGGGTGACTCTATTATAAACAACATTTGGAGGGCTCAGTTTACTTTTTATTCTTTATTGGATTTCATAAGAGTGGACAGTTCTATGCTCTGTCATAGATTATTTGCTTTTCTAAACACACTTTTTACAGTAAATTAAGAAGCATTTTACTCAATAGGACAGTTTTTGAATCTCCAATGGGAGTATTCTTGCCCAAAGGGGAGCTACTATTGTTAAAGTTGTCTTCATGAATTGCACTTGAGGTCAAATTAAAAACAGCCTTTGGAGCTCAAGTACAGAATCATAGAAATCATAGGCTTTGAAGGAAAAATAGCTCTTTTACTTCCTAGAAAAACAGTCAAACTTGAACTTCTAAAGGTTGAGCTAGAGTGAGAACGATGAAAAGACTATTTCCTCTTATTCCGGGGCTGGATTCAACTAAAGCATGAACCAATCTTGTAACAGAAGTGCCTCCTAAGAGGGGCAGTTAAGAGCTGTGGGGGAAAGAAAAGAATTAAAAAACATGGCGACTACTCTTCGGAATCCATAATTAATTATGTACTGGAGGCTAAGAGAAAAAACACCAGACTGTACAGTGAGTCCAGAGCTTCTTAAACTTGAATGTGCATACAAATCACCTCTCATTCAAAAGTTCTGGGGTGGGTCCCGAGATTCTGCATTTCTGGCAAGCTCCTAGGTAATGCTAGTGTTCCTAGTCTGTGACCCGCACTTTGAGTAGCAAAGTTTTCGTTGTGGAACATACTGGAATCCTGTGTAGGAACATGAAGGTGAGAGAGATAATGAAGGTAATGGTGGTGAGTTCTTCACAGAGGAGGTATGCACAGAGGAATATTCTGGAACAATGTACATGTAGCAGAGCCCAAATCTCACAAAAGATTCTCACTTACAAAGACCCCATGAGGAGTCTAAAAGAATCCTAGAGTGAATTATAAGCATGGTGCCCCTTAACTCAGGTTTGTTCATGCAAATTCTCACTAAATTGGTGAAATATAAAATTGATTCTGTTCTCACCCAAGAAGATAGAGTCCTAATATGATATATATATGTATATATATATAGCATATTAAGTATCTATATATATGAAATATATAAATATATGATGTGCATATGATATGTGTATATGAGATATAGTATATAGAGAGCTATATATAACACACATATAATATAGATATATTATCTCTATTCCTTGCTGATCTATTTACATGGACTGTTGTACAAGCTACAACCACCACGGGCCTTACTACCCACCTGAGACCAGTTACCATCAAATAAACTTCTGAATTTGAATGATGTTTGGTGGGGACTGTCTACTAAGAAAGAGTGATAGATTTCATAAGCTGTGTTTTAAACCTCGTGCTTCCCCAAAAGTTACGTGACTTGGGAAATTACAAAAGAAAACTGGAGAGAACAGAAACGATTTAAAAAGACAAAGTTTTTGTTGCTTTTTTTTTTTTTAGAACATTGACTCTGTTTAGCCCTTGGGAGGGAATTAGAAAGTGAATCTCTTTCTTTATTTGTATTAGTAAAAACACCAGCTTTTCCCTCTATCGCACACACTAAAAACGTTGACTAAATATTTAAAGGATATCAGTGTGAAGAAGCACTAATTTATTACCCCGTTGTCTTTCTCTAAAGGAAGAGGATTTAGATTGGATGAAGGGAAGAGCATTTTAGGCAGGAGGAGAGTTCAGGCAGCGGTGGTAGTACTGTTTGCTTAGAGCTGGAAAGGGGCTGTGGAAAGTAAGATTGCCAAAGCAGGTTGTGGCCAGATGGTAGGGAACCAGCTGAATGCCTCGCTAAGGAGTCTCAACGCTCTTCTTTAGGTAAGCACATTTTTGATCCAGAGATGAAATAAAATATGAAAAGGGCCATACTGAAGTACTTGGTAGTTGGCACTTGGCGATGCTTGCTCTGGGCCATTCACCCACTTGACAGCTCCTCAGGGAGCTCTAAGGGACGTTCTATAGGGAGGGATGTCCAAGTTCAAGGTAAACGCAATCGAAGACCGCTGAGAGAGACAGACTAATCCCCAGGACCTTGGGATGAGACTCAAACCAGAGACTTCTCAGGGAGCCCCAAAGACTTAGAGAGTAACTGGTCCTCAGAGGGGCAAAATGCCCAGCAGGTCCCCGAGGGACTGGGGAAGGGCATCCATATTTTTCTCATTAACTTATTCATGACATGAAGTATTATGTCTTGCTGAGGATGGTGGAAAATATTTCACTCAAGTCTTAAGTTGGAAAAAAAAAAAGTTAAGAGGGTTTTTTTCCTCTTTATGACCCTAGGCCAAAGAAAAAGTTTGTCACTGAATGTTTATGAGAGGAATAAGCCAGAAGAACAGACACAGCCAAATCCCTCTGACTCATTACGCACGGTAGGAGCAGCGTGTTCAATTAGTAGGCAATATAATTTACCTAGCCCCCAGGGTCAGAGGGGGCGGGGTGTGGTCGGCAGTGGGGGGGGTCTGGGAGCAGGGTGGAAATTAGAATTGTCAAAGTTATAAATTTACCCAAAAGAGTGAGATAGTAAGGTGACCTCTCTGAGCGAAGCCGGGTCTCCATGGCCACCCGTCACTTCTGAGTTCCATTGAGCCACTTGTCAGACCCCGCTGTCTACATAGCTAACATGAGTAAGGTAGAAGCAATGTGAGAATCCTGAGATCATAAAAAAAAGGCGTGGGGGGGGGAATAAATCAGCTAAGAGTGTCAGGACGCGGAAGAGGCAGAGACTAACTGCTGGGACTCCACCAGGCGGGGTAAGGCTCTTCCCACTCTGAAGGCACTGGCTTCTTCCTCCCGTGGGCAGGGGGCTGCCCAGTGTGAACACCAGCCCTGGACTGAAAGTGCTCCTTCTCCGGCTGAGGGAGGGCTGTCGGTGATGAACAGCATTCTTATGGAGATGGTCTTGACTGTTGTGATTTGTCGTGCACTTTTGCTATTTCACTCTGACATGCCTACTCATTATTGTCTTCACGTTTTCCCTCATTTGGCTAAGACTGTGTATACACTTGCTGTGTGCCAAGTGCTGTAAAGGCATGGGGGAATACAGTGTCAGGCAAGACCCAGGCCTGCCCTCAATGGGCTTTCGGTAGAGAGGGTCCAGGGACAGTCTGAAAGTGTTGAATTCTAGATGATTCCAGAAATGGCCCACGCAAGAGTCCACGCCAGACCACAGGGAAGTATAAAGTCCTCCTCAGGACAGACTGAATTTCTCTTCTGGCTTGGACTGCACAAGAAGTCCCTGACTGCTCTATGGTATGGGAGAGGAGGAGGTTTGGCGGAAATTAGTCTAGAACTTTCTTAGTGTCATCCTGTATGAGTCATGGGACATGGATGCCCAGAATTAAACCTGGACCAACGTCTACGAAGCTTCACTTCCTCTTCTGACCAAGCCTGAGCATCATACACCCCAACCCTTTCGCCATATTGACACTCAGAGCTGCTCGGTCCTGTATTGGCAGTCCTGTCTGAAGGGAACCCTAGCTCCTCCATAGTAGATATCGTGACTGCTTGATGGTGAAACCAGGGAAATCCAAGGGTGATGGGCTGATTTTCATACCTGAAAAATAAAAATAGTATATTTATTACAACATCCCTGAATAGGGATAGGTGTCTCAGAAAAACCGTTCTAGTTCCTTCTTAATGTGACAAGATCATTTTCGAGGTACTAATTGATACCCTCCCTCTCCTCATGTGTCTTTTCCCTTTTCCTTTTCCTGTTCCCAGCTGATAATCAGACTCTGGGCTTCTTGCCCTCAGAGAAAGCCGGCAGCGGGAGAGCTGAAGTGGATTATGAGGAGTGCCACCAGGGCCACAGGTAAAGGGGGTGTGCCTTAAGGCAGTGACCTGGAGCAGAGAGAGCCAGGGAAACCCAGAAGGGGCTATATGTTGTGGTTTCTGAGAATGGAGGAGACCTCCATTCTGGAGAAGGAGCCCAACAAACCTCAGGAGAGGACTGTGAGGTGCCGTAGGGAAGCATCTACCGGCCACAGGGGCTCCCATTCTAGAGAAGAGTGCTGTGTGCCAAGCACCCCTGGGGGGAAATGGGAGCCTGGGGGCTGTGAGGAGGGACTTCTCAACTGTAGCAAGTGCAGAGAGTTCACCTGAAGACTTAAAGGTGTGTGAGTGTGTGTTTGTGTGTGCATGTGCGTCATCCCAGATGTACAAGTCTTGTCACTTGTACAACCACAGGACCTTTGCATCACCCTAGGAGAGGTGGTAGCTTCTAAAGGTTTTGATTTCCTATCAACCCAGCATGACGGGATTATAGTAGAAATTAAACTGATTTAAGTAAAATTAAGAACTACAATATTTCTACAGCCCTGAGGCTATCTACTGAGCCACACCTGCTCTTCTCCCCAGATCCTTCTCTCCTTACCTATTTTGGCCAGGGTGGGGATATCAGGCCTGGCATGCGGACCTATCTAGCATAAAGCCTGCTTCTATGAGGTAGAAAGCCTCACCTGAATAAAAGCTTTTCTGGAATAGAACCCTCTAGAATGTACATGTACATTCTATGCTCCATGACTCCATCATCGTCGTCATCCTCCTCGTCCTCCCTCTCCTCCTCCACTTCTTCCTCCTCCTCCTCTTTCCCCTCCTCCTTCTCTTTCTCCTCCTCCTCTTCTTCCTCCTCCTCCTCCTTGTCCTCCTTCCCCTCTTCCTCCTCCTCCTCCTTCTTCTTCTTCTTCTTTTCTCTCACGCTCTTGTTCGCTCTGTCTCTCTTCTCCACCTTACCCCTCTCCTTCCTTTTTTCCCTCCTGCTCTCCCTGCCTTTGGCTTCAGGGTTTATGCTCTTAGCCATTACACTATACTTCTTGTCATTTTGAAATACCAAGAAAGGATCATCTGGGCTACCATGGAAATTATCTGTAAGAATCAAGGAGCAGAAGAACGTGTATGGAATGATTCTTTGTGTGTGAATAAGGATAGAAATTTGGATAGATAGATAGATAGAGAGAGAGAGACTGATTGATTTCTTAGTATATGCCTAAATAATTTGGGGGGTGGAGAGGGCGAGACAAAAATATATTAACAGTAGTTGCCTTTGGGGAGAGACACTGGAGGCAAAAGGAGAGAAATAGTCACCTTTAATTTTATTCACTTCTGTGCTGCTTGAATTTGCTAACCTTGTATATGCTCTACTTTTTTAAACTATCTACCAAGATTATATAAAAAGGGAGGTTTATACGAAGTTTCTTTTTTTTGTACTTTCTTTTCTAAACATTTTTGTGTACAAATAACTAATAAATATGAGTTTCCACCCCCCCAAGAAAAATCTTGTACTGTGCTTGTCAAATAATTATAACATTGTGGTTTCACCCCGCCTATAGGGCCCAGGAATTCTGAGATGATCCTGAAGATGCCCCCAGCGCCACGGCTGCCTCTGGCAGGGGGCCGGATTCCAGCATGCTCTGGATGTGAAGAGGCTGGTATAACAGATGAAGAAGACACCCTGTGGATTACATATGCCTCCCCCACCCCGCAAAACGATCAAAGGCCCCCGGGAGGAATCTAGAAACTGCTGTGAGGTCTCAACTTCCCTGTGGACATGCAGCATTTTCAAATTAAAAAGGAAAACAACAATATTGACTGGGAAGCTGGATCAAGGTTACGATTGGCGGCGTCTTAGAAATTAATAGGAGATTCTGATGGTATTTGGCCAGGAACCCAGGAATGCCCAGATCCTATGTACGATAACTGCCCCTGGCTCCCCCAAGGAGGACTCAGCCCCAGGAGCAGGGTCTGCAGATAGGGCAATGCAGCAGGCCTGGTAGCTGCAGCTTTGGACCCACAGCCCCAAGGCAGAGGTTCTGGTGAGAGGGGCTCCCTGACAGCATCCAGCAAAGACACAGATGCCCAGGGAGACAGAGGGAATAACCTGTCTTGGTTTGCCCCAGACTGTCCCAGTGTCCCAGGAAAACCCCTCAGTTCCAGGCACACAGCAACAGCTGTTCACCCTACCAGTGGGTGTCCTCACAGAATTCTAGACCTAGAAGGGAACCTGGTGACTAAGGCTATTCTCTGTCTACCTGAAATTTAAGTAGCAAGTTCTTATTAGCTTCAATTTGTTTTATATGTAAAAGGAAAAGGTGTGTGTGTGTGTGTGTGTGTGTGTTCAAGAAAGAGAGAGACACGGGGCGCCTGGGTGGCTCAGTCGTTTGGCGTCTGCCTTCGGCTCAGGTCATGGTCCCAGGGTCCTGGGATCGAGCCCCGCATCAAGCTCCCTGCTCGGCGGGAAGCCTGCTTCTCCCTCTCCCACTCCCCCTGCTTGTGTTCCCTCTCTCATGTTCTCTCTCTCTGTCAAAAAAAAAAAAAAAAAAAAGAGAGAGAGAAAGAGAGAGACAAAGAGAAGGATTTAAAATGAAAGAAATTGCTTTGTTCATCTAACAATGATTTGCAGAACACCTACATCATTCTGGGAACTGTGCTCAGTAAAGGCTTGTTGCAACCTTCAAAAAAAAATCATTAGAATTTCTCTATTTTTCATTTTTATTTTTACTTTTTAAAAAAGATTTTATTTATTTATTTGAGGGGGGGGAGCATGAGTAGGGGGAGGGGCAGAGGGACAGGCAGAAGCAGATTCCCTGCTGAGTAGGGAGCCTTACATGGGGCTCCATCCCAGGCCCCTGAGGCCATGACCTGAGCTGAAATCAGAAGGTTATCCGACTGAGCCACCCAGGTGCCCCATATTTTTCATTTTTAGAGAGGAGGAGGGATGCCTGGGTGGCTCAGAGGGTAGTTAAGCGTCTGCCTTCGGCTCAGGTCATGATCCCAGGGTCCTGGGATCGAGCCCCGCATCGGGCTCCCTGCTCGGCGGGGGGTCTGCTTCTCCTTCTCCCTCTGCCTTCCGCTCTCCCTGCTTGTGATCTCTCTCTCTCTGACAAATAAATAAATAAAATCTTTTAAAAAAGCAAAGAGGAGGAAATTAAATAGGGCTTTGATGATATTTAGTATGCTGGTTGAATTGGCACCTTCCCAGAGGTCACATGGGACACACAGTAGGCACTGTATTCTGAGGGAAAAGAACTTCAAAAATGCAGGGGGAATAGAAAGCCGATTGGTGATTGCCAACGTATGGGGAGAGGGCAGAGTGAGGAGTGACTGTTTAATGGGTACAAGGTTGCTTTCTGGGGTTCTAGAATTGGTGGTGCTGGTTGCACAACATTGTGAACGTGCTACAAGCCAGTGAACTGTACGCTGGAAAATGGTTAAAATGGTCAATTCTGTGTTATTTGAATTTTATCTCAATCAAAAGGAAAATCTGTAAAAATTCAGTGGCATCCTCACTTGCTGACTTGCCATCTGTGCATTGTAAGGATTTGCAGTTTGGATGCTTGGTTAGGTGGTGGTGTGGATTAGATTATCTTAAACAGCAGAATGTGTATAAAACTACCTGATGGGATGGGCAAAATCATGAAAATGGCTTCCACCGTACAGGGAAGATCTTATGGAAAAGCAATTTTAAAAGGAGTGAAACTAAACGATGAATTCTGAATTTTTCTTTTACTTTCAGTAACAGTTCCAAATTTGCTGACCTTTACTAAGATGACAGGTAATCATAATGTTGGTTGTTTAGCAGAAAATTTTTATAAAAGCACATAATCTATCTCCTTGAGATTTAAAAATGGATATTTTTTTAAATGAGTGAGAGATTAAGTATTTTTTTTGAAAGAAATTATGCCATGGAGAGAGCAGAAATGTTTGGAAGTTTCCCCCATTGTGTTATTTTTGTCGCAGAAAACAATGTATATGGGTGATGCTTATAAAAGCTTTCTTACATGCACGCTTGCCAAAAAATAGAGATGAGATTTTTCTATCTTGTTTACATATCTTCCAAATGAAGAGATCTCTCAAACGCTGCATCTTCTGGTTGGTTTACTAGAACAATTTGACATTAAAAGATAGAAATTCACTAGCCAGTTTTCAACAAAAACCTTTGCATGACTGACATAGGGCTCGAAAAATAAAACGATCACTGTAATTAGTCAAGGCAACTAATGATCTACTTCTTCTTTTCTTTTTTAAAAAAGATTTATTTATTTATTTATTTGAGAGAGAGAGAGAGAGCATGAGCAGGGGGAGGGGAGGGAGAGCAAGAGAGAGAATCCTCAAGCAGGCTCCCCGTCAAACACAGAGCTGGACACGGGGCTCGATCCCACGACCCTGAGATCACGACCTGAGCCGAAACGAAGAGTTGGACACTTAACAGACTGAGCCACCCAGGTGCCCCTACTTCTTCCTTTTAAGTGTATATATCCTTGCCAGTGTCTTTTCCAGCCATGTCAAACCATTAAAGCCAAATTTTATCAAAACAAACCAAACTTAGCACCAGACCAAAGTGGTAAACCGAGATTTTCAAAAAGTACAAAGTATATTCAATTGCATTGCTCTCACTTATAAAGTAATTTTAGAAAGATCAAAGAGGGTTTTTGTTCCTGTTTAATAATAAAAATGAATAATAATGCAACATAATAAAAAGTTAATAATAATAAAAATTATTTCTTACCAAGTGGGATTTATTCCAGGTATGCAAGGCTGAGTCAGTATTCAAAAATC